GGAAGTAGGGCGATGGTCAGGGCACTCCGGAAGCTCTTCAGGGTTCTGCTCCACGCCTTCGGGAGCTACGGCTTGTGGATCCTCCTGCGGGTTCCCTTCCTCTGCTTCTTCGAATTCCAGCAACGTGATCTCTTCCTCCGATCCTAGATGCATGAGTATGGTATAAGTATTACGAATGCATATATGTTAACAAGTGCATCACGTTGTTTGAGTAGGTGCATATCTCTTCTCGCTTACTACTTAACTACTTCTACAAAGCATCGACTATGCCATAAACAGTATCTACTTGTTTCGCTCATAACTGGAGTTCTACAAATCCAAATCCAGTGATCCTGGACTATCTGGAAAGCTTATCAAATTTTCTACAACTTTGTTATTAACCATTTTTACAGTACACATCAGTTTCAACATGCAAATCCTCACATTCTAGAATCAGTCCGGAAATGACTTGACATGCAACATAAAGTAAGAATACTTCTACTTCAGGTAATCATTCAAAATTTGACAACCTAGAACCTACCAATAGTTTAAGCATACCAAACATAGTTAAGATAATAAAATGGCAAAGCCCAAACCATTTATTAAATTGCCTTTATCATTTTATTTAGATATCTAGGTTAAATAATAAATGTATATCAGATGTGCTTAATAAATTCTCAAAAATTTACAGAGCCTTACTAATGCTATCAAAGGACTACTATAAAAATTTCATGTCATTTTACTAAGTAGAACATCCTATACAAAATGATAAGGAAGCAAGGCTTGAAATAGCATAAATGGAAAATCCTATTGAAAAGTGTCAAACAACAGATTTCATATTTTTCTTAGCATCCATATGGTACTAGTATCACCTCCAACAAATTTCATGAATTTTGGACTCATACTTAATTTATGAAAATTCATGCAAGGATTAACTAGTCATAAAAGAAAAATCTATAACTTTAAATCTACCCATGCACTGATCCTCAAATTTTTCCTGAGTTCACACATGCTAAGATTAGTTCACCACAAAAATTTCATAATTTTTGGAGCACAGAACTCTAGATATAAAATAAACAAATTTGAATGCATTCAAAAGCACATTTGAAATCCCTATTTAAATCTCCAGAAATTTCTACTGTTGAAACCAAGAACATATTTTTCCAAAATACTACACTTCCTAAGCAACACAATCATATTTATTTCACCATTTTAGGAGCTACCAAACTAAAGATACAAAAATAACAAAACAAATCAAAAATCGCATTCAAAATGAGTTAGCTTTGCACTACTTACATCACGACAGTGGGACCCACTGGTCGGGGACCCCACGCCGCTGACACGGAGCAGAGCAGCTGCGCTGCTGGCATCATCTGCAGCTGCTGCTCGACGACGACGGCGAAGCTTCGCCGCCCGGTGAGGTCATCGAGGTAGGACCTACGACTGGCGAACCTATTGAGCCACCGGCCGGCCCTATTGTCGACCCTAGAGCTAGCGGCGGCCATGGCCATGGCGGAACGGCGAGGTCGGACCACGGCAAAACGCCGGCGACGTCCTCGGTGGCCCGACCTAAGGTTCGGACGAGCACCGTGGTACTACTGGCGGACCTAGCGCGCTAGCTAACGCTGGAGAGGGGGGCAGGCGGGCGTGGCCACGACGACGGGCTCACGGCGGAACTCCGGCGGGCGGTGTCTTGGGCTAGAGCTCACCGAGCTTAAAACGGCGGGCACCGGGCCGCGCAGGAGTCGCGGGAAAGACGGCTATCGCGGTTGCGGTGATGGAGAAGCGGCTAAGGCGAGGCTTGTGCCGTCAACGACTACTGATGGCGCTGCGCGGGAGTTCGACGGTTATGCTTCTGGGCGCTGCGACGGGAAGAAGAGACCGAGGTGAAGTGAAAAAGGAGCGTGGCTGAGTGCGGGCGGGCGTTGGCGTGATGAAGGCGCGCTCGGGCGCGGCGTGGCCTGCGCGGTCAGGGCAACGGCGACGCGCGGCCGACGGAACCTCCACGCGGCGGCTCTGCTCTGAAGCTGGTCGGCCACTGTGCCGATCGATTCAGTCGATTCAGACGCGATCGGAGAGGCCTGACAGCGCGTTTCCAAGTCGATAAATCCGCTGATCCGTGGCTCCTTCGTGCAAATGCCCAACATGAGTTTCGTAGCCCAAGGTACCAGCTACAACTCTTATTCAAAGATCAAGCTCGAATTCGTAACAGCTAGGGAGAAAATCCAATCCAAAGTCAGGCTGACAGCACTGTCAGTGATCAAGACTTAGAAAAATTTCGTGAAGTGTTGAAAAGGTTGTTTTTCTGATTTTTGTGAGCTAAAAAGGACTAGGCTATGCACATTATTAGTTCATGACCCAAAAAAGAAAGTTGTTCTCCATGACACATACTACAACTTTGCTTTAGTACCCACATACATGCATAGTCTCTAGCACCTATTTCGAACTTGGTCAAACATGTCACTTTTAAAAGATGGTACCCACTTGGGCTATGACCTAATGACCTAATTAGCCCTAGCCATGAATATCAAAGTTGTTTATAAGGATACTCTAAACATGTTTAAGCAATTCACAAGGTCACACAATCATTACATGTATTAGTCACTCATGATCATATGTATATGTTCCAAGAAATACGAGATAACAAGCAATGTTTCATATGTTTCGATCGAATGTTTCAATTGAAATGATGATTTATGAATGCTTGATGCTCATGCTCATGTTATGCAAGTCAAGTTATGCAAAGCTAACACCCGAGGTGTTACAGTGGGAGTGCGGGAAACTCTAGTGAGCCGAAGAGAGTCATATCGCTTGAGCCCGCCATGGCAGAGATGGCGGAAAGGTGGGCTATCCGATGACCAAAAGCGTGAACATACGGCGTCCTCCCCACGGACGGCACCAACTATCGGTGCAGAAAATGACCAACAAGTAAATATTTGTAGTTTTGTCGTATGTTGTGATTGGATGTGACCTAGCACTCAATGACATAGGGTTTATACTGGTTCAGACAACGTGACCTAGCCGGTCAGTGACTTTATTCCTGAGCCCAGGTGCTCGAAGTTTGCAGTGGGGTTACAAATTAGTAGGAGTAAGATGGGGGGTGCAAGAGGTCTGGTAGGACTCCGGTCTGAAGGGCCGAGAGTGATGAGAGCTCCTACGTGTGCTGAGTATTCGAGCGTGTGCTTGAACCTGGTTGTTCTATTGTTGTGTGTTGAATTGATCGTTGGGTGTTCGAATCGTCTGAATCGTTGATCGTCTCCTATTGGGAGAGAGCGTATCTCCTTTTATAGATGAAGGGGACGACCTTACAAGAGAGAGAGAGAGAGAGAGAGAGCTACATAGTCCTGTTGCCCACACCGTTGGGTACAAGATGATTGTAGGCGCCCACAATATTGCTGATGTCAGACGCGTGTGGGAGGTTTTACCATGTTCCACCAGGTATGGTAAATGCCGGCGCCCACAACACTGTGGATGCCCAGACGCATGTGGGGGGCCTTACCGCATTTGTCTGGTATGGGAATTGATGGTGCCCACAACACTGTAGCCCAAATGTCGACGCCCTCAATACTGTTAGGGTTCTGACATGTCTAGAAGGTTGCAGAGCACCCTTCTGACATGGTCTTGTCGGTACTGTCATGCGGTCGTGCAGGGTACGGTCTTCAGTATTGTAGTTGTCTTGAGTGTCCTGCTTTACTTGGTCTGTCCGTTTCCTGGGCCCTTACCGAGCGGGCGTCTCCGGTCGGTTGGTCCCAGTCGGCTCCGACTGCGCCAGTCGGAGAAGAGCTGTAAGCAGAGGTTCGGTGCATCCCCGGTCGGAGACACAGGTCGGAGTCGAAAGCGGCGTTTGGTCAGGCCTTCCAGTCGGAGACACGGGTCGGAGTCGGAAGCGAGCGTCGTTCCTCCTGGGCCAGGCCTTCCGGCCGGAGAGGCGGGCCGGAGTCCGAAGCGAGCGTTGTCCTTTCCTTGGCCAGGCCTTCTAGTCGGAGAGGCGGGCCGGAGTCGGAAGCGAGCGCCGTTCCTTCTTGGCCAGGCCTTCCGGTCAGAGACTGGATTGCCCTTCTGGCTTGTCGTTAGGTTTTTTGGGCCGGCCCAGGAGTTGCGCGTCGTTCGCAACGTCGTCTGCTGGGCCGAGCCTTTTCTGGGAAGCAGGTTCATTAGAAACCCCGGGTTTATGAACCCGACAGATTCTAAATGGGTTAATCAAGGTTTCCAGCAAGTTTCATAATTTTTTAGTGTTGATTTAAATCAATTTTGAATTTTGGAGAAAGTTCATTACAGTCTGTTCATACCGGACCGGTCCAATAGGTGGTCCGGTATATATTCGATTTGTGATTTTTTAGGAGATTTTCTAGAGGCTTCTTCCTTGTGTTGTTTGTAACCTCTGGTTACAAGTTCACAATTTATAGAGACCGTTTAAGCATGATTTTCCTTTTTCTCAAAAATCCACTTGGGCTGGTTTGTCATACCGGACTGGTCCGATATGTATATAGGATTGGTCTAGCTTTGCACTGTGTTCTTGAGCCTTTCTCCGTTTCTTGCTCATTTTACTTCCGCATTTAGTAGGCACCCTATTGTTACTTGATCTTAGGGAAAGCTAGAAGAGAAGAGTGGGCGTGTCATTTTAGTATAAAGTCCAAGTTCCCTCGACAAAAAATTTATTAGGCTCCCATTCATCCTCCTATGGTCGCTGTTTCTGGTCCTTAAAAAACCTGCTACAACTATATAAGATAAAAAGGTATATGAGTACTATCTAAATATGATCGATTTAAGGTGTGTATAGATAGGCAATTATGTAGATGTGGATCTAAGTTTATCCAGGGAGTTCGTAAGACTTATCTTTCTTAAATTGTTAGATTGTGCAAGAGCAAGAGAAGAGATGAATGTGTTCCCTCGACCAGCTCAAGATAACTGTGTTAGATTGAATTCCTTCTAGACATTCCTTTGTTATGATTACAGAGATTGCTTAATCCTTTTCAAGTAAGCAAATGGTTCAGATGATCTTCCTGAACGTGCTGAAACAATTAGCCACGACAGTCGGGAACCACAAGTCGTGCGTTCATATCTGCCATTACTGCAAACGGAACCAACGCTGCTACCGCAAAAACATGGGTAAAAAAGGAAGCAACGTTGGCAGCTAGAACTACTGCTCGCGGTGTTTCAGCTCTGTGGGACAGTAGCCTCCATTGTAGCGCTGAGACGACAGAAATCGCAGTGAAGAGTATGAAAGCCTGTGTCCAGCTGCTGGTCAGCGAGCAATCGCGTATGCTTGGGATTGATACAGTTAAGAACCCTGCAAACGAGAACTTCATCAGCTCAAGTGGAGGAGGCGGCTTAACCTCGCTGTCGTCAGGAGGTGACGATGATGTCGTATTCATCGGCTCGCTGTCGGCGTCAGGAGGTGACGATGGTGTCCTATTCATCGGCTCGCTGTCGTCGTCAGGAGCAGGAGGTAACGATGATGTCGTATTCATCCACTGGTTCTCAGTCTGGCTACTACTAGGTGATTGTGATTGCGATTCCCCCTCCGGTTGCTTACTTTGCTGCTGCTCTTGCATCTCGATGACCACGTCATGGCTCCCCGGTGATGTCGTCGGATTGATCCGGTTGAGCTTGTCCTGCGCCTCATCTAAGTGTTCGTATATCCCAATAAAAAATGAGACTAGTGGCGGAACGATCACCAGCAGAGCGTACGCGTCGAGTGGCGCCCATGTAATGCAGAGCACTATGGCGGCAATAAGCAGGGCCAGTACCATGTTAGATGCCTCGATGCGCCGACGCATTTGATCGCTCCGCTCGTCATTACTGACTGAGGGTGAGGGCGGAACCGTCCAAACGAACATGATGGCCACGCCCAACACGCAGGTCCAAAAACTCACGACGAGGGTGGACTCGAGGTGATCGTGACCCTCGTGGTTGCTGTTCAGATGCAACTCCAAGGCCAGGCGTTCGAGCCCCAGGAATAGAAGGACCGTGAAGGCGGCAAAGAAGTCCACCGACCTCTCCAGCTCCCGCTCGTAGTCTGCCTGGGCACCACCATCATCACTACTAATAGCTCTGTCACGGACACCGTCGTCGGTCTCACCTCGCAGGCTGCAGATGTAGCAGTACGTGATGAAACCAACCGATGGAATCACAATGGCGATGTAGACCTTATAGTCCATGCTGATAAGGAGCAGAATGAAATATGCGAGCCACATGAGCAGGATAGCGCAGATGAGGACCAGCAGCTTGGAGGCAGCATCTTGGAGCCACTCGACTCTAGCGAAAATCTTTGATAAGCAGAGCCAGATCAGGACCATTAGCAGGATGCCGAATGCCATTGTAACCGCTGCGATCGGGGAAATACTTCTTTGCACGAACACGAACAGAGTCCCCTCGCCCTTCAAATCAACCTTCCTCAGCGCTAGCGCAAGAAGAACCGGGGATACCATCTTCACCACGCCTTCAGCGAACAACCGCACACGAGTCCTCATGGCGTCCTGCTAGTGGTAGTATACACAGTCAGTGAACAGATGATAAATAAAACACTCATGCTTCACACACATAATGTAGTCTTTAGGTTGAGATTGTTGTAAGACCACATCTACCATGTGTTTCAACATGATGTCACATTGCATTCTTATTTCTACTTGCTACTTCATTTCTCAATTTCCTTTTGCATTATATTGATGGCAAAGAATGGCACAGTAATGATGTTGTAGCAAGAAGACCAAGAACACACTGCATTATTACTTAATCGAATGCAAGTTGAACACGGGAAAGGAAATTCCCTGTGTCAAAATAGTCCTTGTAGCCGCTGTTGTTATTACCTGAGAGGATTTGGTTGACTGCTCCTCCGAGACAGAGGACGATGTCTCTGGTTGTGTAGCCATATCATGTGCTATTGAGACCAATCCGAGCAGCTATTTTCTTCTGTGTAACTTCAGAAATCTGCAAGTCATGAAGCAGATTCTTTCTCACCAAGCCGAGGAAAGTTGTAACCGACCAGTTAGAGCACTAGGACGCTGACCAGTTAGCAGCCATACAGTATTTAGCACCATCAAAGAAAAAAAAAGGTATTTAGCAACATCGATCGTCACTATGCCAAAACAACACAAAAGAGACTTAATTTAACGCGTCACAGATGCGAAATTAGTAACTCGTCTAGTAAAAACACGTCGCTGGTGTCTTTTACGAGTGACGCGGCTCTAGAATGGAGTCTGATTTATGATCCACGACTTGTCTCTCTGAGATCTATGATATCTGTAAACCTACCCCCCCCCCCCCCAAGGCGCAGCATCTCTGTCCTTAGACTATCTCCAACAGCACAACCCAAATCAGAGACCCATTCCATAGTTTAGGTCATGCACAATAAAAAGATCGAAGCACCCAAAACTCCTCCAACAGCCCTACCTAAAAATCCCGTCCCTCTCTCCTCAATCTCTCTCCCCCGCGCCGCTTCCACCTCTCCCAGCCCCACTTTCCCTCTTCCTCCCCAACCTTCCTCTCTTCATCCCCATTCATCACCTTCCCACTCATCGCCGGCGTCCGCATCGGAGCTACGCGCGGAGCAGCAGACCAGCGGAGTCGCCGCGATGGGGCCGCGCCGGCGAGGCGGCGGACAACGCGGAGGCGCCGCCCGACGAAGAAGCAGCTGCCGCTAGGGTTCGGATCCACCTACCGAGCGGATGACGAGGAGGACGCCACCGCTGGGAGCGAGGCGCGCGGCGCCATGGAGACGGACGCCATGGACGAGCGCGAGGCTCGCCGCTCGCGCGCTGCTGTTGGAATCGTGCTCAACGGCTCGACCCCGGATCCCCGCTCCCCGACGGCCACGCCCGCTCCCTGCCTCGACGCGGTACCCACCGGCCGCGCCTCGAGGTGGACCTCGCCGCGCCGGCTCCTCGCCGTGGTGGCTCCCCGCAGTGGTCTGCCTCGCCGCGCCCCGCTCCTATGGGCCCACCACTACGATGCCGCCAGAAATTTGCGTTCCTCTCTCGACGACGCACATTTGCAGTTCGGCAAGCCTCGTACCCAAAATGGATGAGGTGATTGGGTCATCTGTTGGAGCGATGTTTTCGAAGGCAAAACACTATGAGTGACCTATTTTGGGTTTGGGTCACGGTTTGCATGCTCTATTGGAGTCAGTCTTAGGCAAAGGGCGACCCAAACGCAAAATACCTCGTGCATAGTGTTTTGCGTCCCAAAATCACGCTCTAACGGAGGACGCAAAGAAGGCAGCCATTTTGCGTTGCAACCGAGTCGGAAGGCAAAAAAGCGTCATCGTTCTCGACGATGCAAAACACTGCAGAGGGAGAGGGAGGAGCGACCGACGCCAGGCCCCGGCACAGGGGCGGGGCCGATGGAGGTCAGTGGAGGCCGATGAAGCAGGACTAGCAGATGGCTACCTGGTCCTGGACCGGCCACCGCGCGGCCGCTAGAACCTGCGAGCGCACGTGCTCGAGCACTCTGACTGAGCCCGGCGCTAAACGAATAGAGGGAAAAAGGAAGAACGAGCGGACAAAGAAGAACTGAGCTCGAGCACTGACGGGCAGCAAGGAGAGGGACGAACGCTGCTTCTAGGAAGCAAGCACGGCACCTGTGCACCGGCTCTGGTAACGCTCCTGTAAAATCCCATGTGCCTGCACCTCAATCAACAAAGAACAGAGCTACGTACAGAAGAGAAAGTGACCACGAAATTCGAAGGAAAACCGACCAAATCAAAAGGAAATGCTCCCAAATTTTGCAGAGATGCAATTCAACTTGCAACGAATCTATCCCTAAGAAATCATTGTCTGAAATTGATTCAAACTCCGGGGCTGCTCGATTTGGGGCGAGAACGGGAGAACAACGACGAACACAAAATCGTGAAAATCAAAATCAGAGACCTCGTGCATAGTGCACAGCGATGCCAGGGCCGGAGCTCGCCCGCACGGTGGTGCCGGATCCAGAGCTCGCGCTATGAAGCTAGCTCGCACGGCGACGGCCGCCCCAGGCCCCGCTCCTCTTCTTCCTCAACGCCGGCAGCCACTCCCTTCTTCCTCAAGCTCCTCGGACGACGGCGAGGCGGGCCCGCGGCGGGGCGCGGCCAGGCGGGACCGTGGCAGGGAGCCGCCGGCGCGGTGAGGAGTGGGCGGCGCTCGGCCTTCTGCGTTGGACTTTTGCGTCTGTCGTTGGAAACGTGAAGTTTTAGGTGCGAGAGCTTTTTTCTGTGCATGACCTATACAAGGAATGCGTCCCGTATCTGGGATCGGCCTGTGTCTTAGGAGAATAATCTCCCCGGCCGCCCTCCATGCATCTTCGTTATCCCCTGGTCGCCGCCGGTGCACTCCATGACTCCGACGCCACTCCGCATCGGCGACGGATTTGTTAGGGTTTCGGCCTCCCTCCTCTAGATCTGGCCGGAGCCACCGCCTTCCCGCTGACTTCCCTTTTTGGCGTGATGGATTTTGGCAGGTTAGTTGGCGGTTGGATTTGATGGCTGTGGCATCGCGGCTGGTGATCGCGCGAGTGTCACCGTATGGCGCGCACCCGGCGGCGGCAGGGAGGAGGATCGGAGAAGTGGACTCGCGGCGTTTCTGACTGCCAGGAGGGGGACGAGACGCTGCGGGGCCGTCACGGCCAGCCCCCCCATGGAGGAGGCCATGCAGATGACAGAGCCGCTCACCAAGGAGGACCTGGTCCCCTACCTCGTCTCCGGATGCAAGCCCAAGGACAAGGAGAACTGGAGGTCAGAACCTTCGATATGCTCCTTTTCTTATTTTGGTTCCTCTCCTGATACCAGTAGTGGAATGTTTGACGTGGATGCGTAATTCTTTTTGTTGTTTGATACAATGTGATGCGTATTTATAGCCAACAACGCCTGTCTAGCTCTAAAATTGAAGTTACTTTCAAGTGCTCGTGGTGCTCCTGGACGCCTGTATGGGATGTAGGGAAAGCAAAGCATCTCACTAGAACCTGGAGGCCAGTTTGAACTCAGTGGTGCTCCTCTCGAAACATTACTGCAAACTTGTGCTGAGTTCAATTCACATCTTTATCAGGTAGCTTCTCTTACTGACATTGCATTTATTTTCCTTGTGCAGCATCTTATTTAGTTTGCGTGTGTTTTTACTTCACATTTTATAAGATGGTTCCTTATTCAGCCTGTGGGTATTTTTATTATCTTCTTTTACCCAACAGTCAGCCAAGCTGCTCAGTTCATCTTTCTGTTGGTTCCTGCTAGGTTTTCTCCTCTGCCATTTTCTGCTAGGTTTACACAATTCTTGTTTGATGACTACTAGTGATCAGTCTCAGTTTTCACTTCTTGCAGGTTGGTCTACATAACTTGCTGATCTATTGGGTGTTAGTATTGCATTTATAACTTGCCGAGCTGGAAAACATAGAAGTATTTGTCTTTGAGCTACTAGAGTATGTGGAAATACTTAGGGACTGGCCACCTATTGGCTTCATAGGTAATGTAATTTTTTTAAATGCTAATCTGATGCATCGATTGGTCTATATTTTAGGTAGACTACAATTTTACACCTAGTGCTGCAAAAGACTGGGCTGCTGGAAGAGAGGGAAATGGTCCAGTTAGATGATGCTCTGCAGCTATCTGGAATTTTTAACTTACTATTTGTAGTTCTATCTTCGGGATCAGTTCACAAGCCACAGTAAATATGCTGAACTCCTGTAGGCTTCATTCGTTAGAAGCCAGGAATGGCCTGGAACTATTCCGGACCCGGAACATTTCGATAATTTGTACTGAACAGGAACTAATCCTGGCCTTGAATGGCCGGGAATGCCAAACCGAACGGCCCCGTAAGCTGAAAGAGGTTGCCAGAACTTGAACTGATGTCTATTCTAAAATTCGGGAAGAGTTAATGGCTTGGACTTGCTTGATGACACACAGTGGCGGAGCCAAGACGAGCATCTCAGGGGGGCTAATCAATAGAGATTTAGAACAAATATCGAAGATTAATGGTGAAATCATATTTTTTCTACAGTAATAACAAGCCAAAATCACCCTCACGGGGGGGGGCTGCAGCCCCCCAGCCCCCCGTGGATCCAAGTTTCACTTCAATCTAATCCAACACATGTAGACTGGTGCAAATACGACTACATCGAAACAAGACCTAAAAGTGAAAAATAAATCGTCCAAGGATTTTGACAAATGGTGCACAAAATTGAAATCTACTGTTAACAGTAATGATCCAGGAGAATATTAACAATGGACGTTTCGCAATGTGATCATAAATTTTGATGCCTGCCAGCCTGTGTAAAAATAAAAAAGTGCCATATATACGTGCAAGTTGTACTGAATGGAATTTATTTCCAGATCACACTCAACGCTGTATGATGTTTCAAACCTGATTTTGTTGTCTAAACAATCCAAGCCATATGGTTGTCGGAAGTCTATTATTCGGGACATTGAAAGTAATAGTGACAGCTAAAGCTTAAGCATATCGAGACTTTGTAAACCCAAGGCAGTATATGACTCATATCATAACAGAAG